AATGTTAAAACTCGCCTCAATACTGTGCTAAGACAAATTAAACTGTTTATAAAACACTCAATGCAAGTGTGAAATACTCTACCCGTGTACCGTAAATATTAAAAATTAATAAAACTAAAAAGAAAAAATAAAAAAAAAATATAACTGCATGCATTAAAAAAAACATAACTTGTTATTTAATACTCAGACTAATTTAAATCATCCTTCGCAAAAATAAATTAAAAAATAGTGCCAGCATGGGGTCGATTTCTATCTTCCCTCGACACACTACGATTCAATACGATTGGAAATTAGAAACCAATCGCCTCTGTTTGGTAAGGATGGAAATTGGCCACACACATGTTTTATCTTATGACCACCTTCGACACAAGATACAAGTGGCTCAGTCCAGTTCTATGATCTTACATTGCTTTACCGAGCAATTCCTCCAATTAAACAGAGTCTAGTCTGCCGCCAGTGGTCATTTAATATAAAGAAATTTAAGAAGAAATGCATTCTATCACAAGTTAACGCAAAATTAGTAAAAAAATAAATACAAATTAAGAAGAGAAAAATATAACATCGACCGAGAAAAGAAATTGGGCCCTCCCATGCGAGTATCCCTACCACTGAGGTATCCATGCTTGTTATAAATCTTTGGACAAATTATGAATGAATGTAACATACCATTGGTGGCAGGATATTTTTCATTAATAAACTGCCACTAGAGCCAGACTAGATACTTCCAATAAAACATATATGTATTCAACAAGTCATCATGGTATGTATCTAAAATGACCATATGACTTAACAAATTCTGTCATGCAAAATGGGCAGGGCAAAGAAGCGGCAGCAAACGAGCAAGAACATGTCAACGTCCTTTATGGCTTGATGATACAAAGACAGGGCCGGCCGCAACGTACAGCAAAAGACAATCAATAAATAAAGCGTGTTTCAAAGATAAAGCGAAAACAGGAGAAGAACGGCGGGGGGGGGGGCTGGATGGCTAAGTAACACGAAAAGCGTATTATTTTTATTGCACGACGAAACGAGCAGGTGAAATGGCGATTTAAGGGCGGAGCGAATGGCGTAAGAATGAAACAACAAAGGGTTTATTTCGTATCAACATTCGTGCAACATTCGGCAGGTACCTCGAGTTCCAGATCGTCATCGTCGTTCTGGGTATGGGGAGCGTTTTTCGGCTTGTTGTGTGACTTCTTCGGATCAAAAGGATCGACCACAATCTGCTCAGTGCCCTTTATTTCTGCTCTGCAGAATGGACAACCTTGACCTTCCGAGTCCTTAAAAAATAGAAATTAAACAGATAACAGTACCCATGTAATAAATAAATCTCGAAAACATAGACTTACAGCTAATTACCCCAACAAAACGATTGCATAAGACGTCTATTTCACTACATTTTTGCAAGCATGACCTAATGTTCGTAATGACCACAGTAACAGTGGCGTTTTCAAAAGTTTTATTGTGGTTTCATATTTCATGTAAAACTAACTAAAAAGTGTCATGTTTTCAAAAATTTTAAATACACACAATAATTACTTTTTGATAAAAGTAATTTTACTTTAATTTTGTTGCAAATTATATACTCAAAAAATATCTTAATAAAAAAAAAGACAATAATTGACGACGCAAATTATCCACAACGGGGAACTGAATAATTTTTTACATATAACTGATATGAAAATTTAAACTAATTTCAGTGAAGATTAGGAGAAAGTTGAAAATAATACTTTTCTTATCAAAATTGATTTTGATGAACAGGAGACAACATTCTTTAATAGCTGAAATTACGCCGGTTTGTTGCTTTTTTAACAGAAAAGTTGTTATTGCAAATATTTATGAATCGTTAAGATAAAAAAAGAACTTAATAAATTCATCATGCTTACTATTTGCCAGGCAGTCAAACAAGGAGTGCATAATAGATGACCGCATGGTTCTATCCGTATATCCTTGTCGTTTTCTGCGCAAATTTTGCACAACTGGAAGGTACTCCCCATTTCGCAGTACAATTCATACTGTTCCTGAGTGACAGCTATATGATCTTCAGGTGTAGGTTGCACAGCCCAAGACAAATCAGGATTCACAGAACGGCCATCAGGATACAAATAACTAGAATAAGAGAATAAAAGTACAAACCGCCACAAAATTAAAACTAAATTTAAAGCAAATTTTATATTACTACAAAAGGAAAAACAGTCTTAAAAAACACAGAACGCGTTTTTACGGAGGCAATTTAAAGTATGTTTATAACTACAAAATGGCCTAAAAATCTTTTAGTTTGTTGCTTAATTAATGATTTAGTATTTTTTAAAAGACCATGATAATATGTGTATTGTCAAGGGTGTCTAATAATAATAATCGCGCTGGCGAGCGGTTAGTTTTGAAGTTCGAAGAAGATTACTAAAAAGCCTATGTTTGGAGAATGGCTTTGTTGTGAAAAATGATCAGTGGGGCTTCGTAAAAAAAAGTTAGGAATATTTGAGATATAGTGTTATGGGCGGATGATAAAAATGGCCCGAATAGAAAACGTCAGAAATGATAAGGTAATAGAAAAAGTAGAACAGAGGGCTCTATAAAAGTAAATAAGGAAAAGGAGAGATAGGATGGCAGGAAACCTTCTTGGACATATTGGAAACAGAAGCAGAATTAATGAGAGACAGAGGAAAATCTCCCATCCTAGAAAATTAGAAGATGGGCTCAGTATAGGTAGAGGGAGGTGAATGTTCAACCAACTAGCAACTTTATAATGATAAAAGAATTAAAATTACAACAAATAACATCACCTTACAAGAGATGGTAAATGATCTTTCAAAACCGAGTTCAGTAATTTACAAATAAGGCAAAATATTTGCCGAACGTAGAAATTACAAATGTTCTCAATTCGCCACTATGATATGTGGTTATAAAAATTATAATGGCAGTATAATTTTAGAAGCACCAGCTTATTCCGTACTTGTATTAGTATCAATTTTCCGCAGGCTTATACGTAAGTATAACACTGTCTTTTTTTTCTATTTATCTACAATATACACATCATTTAACAATTCAAACTATTTATTATATAGCTTATCAACTTGTGGACAATAAGGTGCTCCCATTATCAGAGAATTGCACACGCAAATTACTCGATATATATATATATATGTATTTAGTAATCAAAGTATAGAATAATTTAATAATCTAGAAATATTAGAATCAAAGCTAGAGGAAAAAGTGGAAATTCATAAAAAAAAATGAGAATATTCCTTCAAAATGATTAGTTTTAATGTCCTCCAATCCCTAACATTGATCCTTAGTCTTAATTAGAGTTATACATATAAAAATTGGTGTACTGTTACTTGTACAGATAATTTACTGCATCTTTTGGTAAATGATTAAAACCTTAGTATTACTTACAATCCTTCTCGAAAGCCATCCAGTAGGGCTTGAATTAGTCCTTTATTCTGCGGTATAGTTTGTAGTATTTCACCCTCAGCAGTGACATATCCAATTGCCCATTGGCCCAGCCTAGTACATGACAACCTAAACACGTAACTTCCAGCTTTATTGATGTACTTTTGCAGTCTTGCCTTTACTTCGTCGTATGTTAGAAATGCAACGTAACCTGGATGTGTTACTGCCAAAATTTGCCAATTTCGTAAAAGTGTTGTCCATGGTTGAAACAGCCTAAACAATAATTCCAAAATAAGAAAACCATTAAATAAAAAATAAGTGAGTTTACCTTGTAAAGACATCAAATTCAAAATTGGATATGTAATCATTGCACGTTAAGTCTATTGTTGATTTCAGAGCCATTGCTTCAAGTCCAGAGTTTATAGGATGAACTCTATTAAGTTCTTGACGAAACAATTTCCAAGGAACCAAAGTACTGCAAAGTAAGATGTACATAATAACATATATTTTATTAAAATCATAGGTAAAAATCATATTCGGTAAAATTATTCGATTTAAGAAATAAATAATAAAAAATTACTGACAGTTCTAACTGGGGTGATCCCTTTTCAGTTGCTAACTCACCTGTTTCCAAAATTTGTCCTCCAGAAATCTGCAGCATCAGATTTGGTTATACGAAATTGGTCCCCAGCAAATAAACCATTTGGAAAAAGTGCTTTCAGTTCACTTAACATATGACTAAACACTAAACTAAGCTTCGTTAAATTTCTCCTGTAGTGAGAGTTCTCATCAAACATTTTTTCTTTTCCTTCTTTAAAAAGTTTGATTGCTTGTTTACACTTTCGCATTAAGTTTATAATAAATATGTTAAAAAACTCATTTGAATGCAGAGCATACATTTTATCTTCGTATTTAGAATAAATAAGTCTCAGTCTCTGATAGGTGTCAGGTAGAATGTCTAAAATAAACGGGGGCGAGTTTTTTAAGTTCATTTTTGGATGTTGACACAATTTAACCACTTTATCCATTAATTTCCATGTTTTATCTAAAGTCCGTTTATCCACAGTGTACCGAGGTTGGGTCACTGCTTCAGAAAATGCATCATGTATCCGCGTAAATATTGTGGTGAGATTTTTATGTTGCATAGGACGACTGCGATTAGCCATAGTGTTACGATATAACCACGGCTATTCACTTTCTTTCACACTAACTGCGATTTCACAACTTAATTCTACACTTTACACATCGAAACTTTATTTAATGTACATTTTGATTAGGGAAATGACCGCATTTTTAACAAGTTAGTTTTTTTCAACAAGATTCGAGAGTGATTCGACAATCGAGAGCACAAAACAATTACTGAAATGTCAACGACATTCACCGTTGCCATAAGAACAAAGAAGAAATTACTACATTTTACTACTTACTGAATGCAGGACCATAGCAAATGAATGAACGTTTACGATTAAGAATGAACAAGAGGATCCAACTGTCAAAAGTTACTAGAAAATTCAAATCGGTTTTTTCATTTTTTTAAAAGAATTTCTTGCTAGGCAAATAAGTTTCGGGAAAAATTTAACACAAAAGATATAAAAGTCTGAAGCAACTTTAATTTTAAAGAAAATTAAATTAAAATAATATAACGGGAATATCGGCAACATTGTATGCACAACGCAGTACAAAAACCGTTACAATTGGTACAAAACTGTTTAAATATTGTTTTATACCTTTTCAAATAGTTTGTTAGTGTGGATGTGTATTTCTTTACAATAACAATTCATTTTATTTTAATTCATCTATTTAAAATTAGAAAATGGACGGATTTGTAAATGTAGCAGTTCGAATACGACCTACTTTTAAAAATAATTTTTGTTCAACTATTAAGTTAATAAGCGAAAATCCATGGGTTAGGAAAATTTAAATACAAATTGATAGGTGATATAATATAATGGTTTATTATTTTTAGACATTACAAATAGACGAAAGGTCTCAATATACTGTAGATCGAATTTTCACCGAGGATACGGGACAGTTAGAAATTTATAATGTAATTGTTAGACCTCTTATTGAAAAAGTACGATTGGGCTATAATTCGACAGTATTTGCTTATGGTCAAACAGGTACAGGAAAAACCTATACAATGGGAAGTAATCCTGAAGTAAGTACTACATTTGTTTTTTTTTAATATCAACTACTTTTGTATTTTTTTGTAGGCTTATGAAACTGATGAACCTGGTTTTATATTGTGTTCGATTAGTAATTTTATAGAAAATCTAAGTGATAATACTGAAATTTATATTTCTTTTTTTGAAATTTATAATGAGAAAATTTATGATCTGTTAAGTACAAACAAAAAAATGCTTCCAATTAAAGGTAACTAGATTGTATAATACACCAGTAAACTATGAATGTATCTTGAAAATGGTATGTTTAATTTCTTAAGGAATTCAAGACCTAATGAAAGAAAAGTTAATTGACCTGGCACAGGCTAAGTCTATATTACGAAGAGGCAGTGCTAATCGACATGTGGGTGAAACTAAACAAAACAGTAAAAGCTCCAGATCGCATGCAATCCTCACTATCCATTTTTCATCATGCTACCAGTGTGTATACTTTGTTTACTGCTTCGAATTTCTTGTAAGTTGTATGTATTTGTTGTTTAAGGGATACAAATATTTCTGCAAAACTAAACTTAGTTGATCTGGCTGGTTCAGAAAGTGTTAAGAAAACTGGTAATCAAGGTTATCAATTTCAAGAGGGTGTTAATATTAACAAAGGTCTTCTCTCAATTGGAAGGGTGGTCAATGCTTTAGCTACAAATGTGTCTTTCATACCATACAGGGAATCAAAGATTACAACAATTTTACAAGGTAGTATTGTTGTTTATTTGGTATTAGTACAAAACAATCAAATGGAGTTTTGTGGAGCATTATCACTATCCATATATTGCTTAGTAACATAGGTTGAAAGCAGTTTTATATTAAGGACTAATATTGACTATATAGATACATATATATAAGAAATATTGACTAATTATTTTTTATTTGGAGTAAAGGTACTTTTTTGTAGATTCATTAAATAGAAATAATTATGTGACGCTTATTGCATGCATTAGCCCGAATCCTGATGATATTCGAGAAACAATACAGACTATGGAATTTACACAGGAAACTAAAAAAATTAAACATAGGCCAGAATTTACAAGCTTGTTAAGTACTCAAAAGGTATTTATTATTTATTTACTTAGTATTTTAGGATTTTATAAAAGCTTAACTCATTGGTTCTAGAAAAAAAGCGTTTACAGATCATCAAAAAGACACATTCCTCAAAACATTTTTGAGATTGTCTCAAAGAAACCAAAATTGGTTGATATGGCTTGTTCTCCTATAAAACCACTCAAAAAGAAGTTTATTGCTATTGATGAATTCAACTCATCTATTAGTGTTTTGTCAGAGATTAATTTCAATGTTAGCAAGGCAGATATCAGTCCAATAATTGTAAAACATGTTGAAAAGGAACTTTCAAAATTCAAAGAAAAATCCAGCCAAAGTATAAATAGGTCAGTACATAAATGGGGAATATACTTTGGAAAACATTTTCTTATATCCTCTTATTAAAAATAGTTTAAAATTATAGTGGGGGTGGCGAAGCAGATTTTTCAGCAAATGAGAACATGTTTCAATCAACTATGATTGAAAATAGTAGATGTCCTACGCCAAATGAGTAAGTTATTATTATTTTACATTCAGGTATATGTAACAGATTCTAATCTGTTTAGAAGTGAAGTGACAGCTAGATTCATTAATGTGCGCATATAACAAAAACTACTGGATAAATTTTGATAAACTTTTGAAGTAAAAACTTCTTTAGCTGCGCTGAGCGATTTTTGGTAAGGGAAACCATTATTAATGACTCGCGTTACTGAAATGTTAATGCGCACGCAGCGGTCTCTGTTCACGTATACGCCTATACACTAATGCGTTGTACATACTCGACTGTATGATGTGCACTTTGGACTCTTTTTGAATAGGTAAAATTTAACTAACGTGTCTATACTGTACATTGTTGAAATTAATGTTTTAGATAATTATTTTATCAAAAAATCATGACGATACTCCTTTTAATATCTAACTTTCGTACAAGTATGACAATTCTGGCCTTAACAGTCGAAACCACGTCTTTTATTTTGAAATGATAGCGGCGAGCTATGCGCTGCGCATGTGCGGCAGAGGAACTCTCTAAAGTTAACAAACGTTATTATTGTTGATGCTACAACAGACAATTTATTAATTTTGAGCATGCGTACTCCATGAAAAAGTTATTGCGCATGCGCGAGCACATCGCTTTGAGTGGAAAATCTCAGTAACGACCACGGCCATTGTCTTATAGTAAAGTAGGTGACAGCCGCGCATTATTTTCGCGAGCGACATGTGTAGTTGCGTCTCGAAATAAAGTAAACCATGCTGGTAATGTCTCAGAAATCAGTTATTTTTAGAATAAACTTCACCAAGATGTTATTTCTGGCAAAAACTGTTTTATATTAAAAATTGATGCTTTGCTATTTTTTAATGAACCTGACAATCAGGCCTACTGACTCAGCCTGACTCAACCTAAGGTACAGAGTCGGTAGGTCTGAGGTCATCTTCCTTGAGAATCTGATACTACTCGGTTGCTTGTCGTTGCGACTGTCTGTTTATGAAGATTTCTCCTGTTCCACTTAAAAAAAAACGCCCATAATACTTATACATGTTGTACATATAAACTAATAAAAAATAAAAGTGTTTCATTTGTAGAAATAATAATTCTCAAAAACTGATCATATCTCTTGTGAATTCAATAAAAACATCGGCAGAAATAAAAACACCATCAAACAGGTATTGCTTTTAGTATTTTCCCGTTTTAATGATGCTTACTATTCCCATAAATCTTAGGTTTTCATGGAGGAAGCTGGAAGCTCTTATAGCTCAAACAGTTCGCAACGAAATATTACAATTTACTAATCGTAAACCAATAGCCTGCAATAGTCCCATTCATGTTCATCAGCCAAAAAAAATTGATTTTCAAATGAAAGAAAATGCCAAAGAAAATTTTCCATTTAAAATTCCTGCAGTTCCTAGCGAAACGAAAAGTAACATTAAATATCGGGGAAGTCTTCAAACGAAAACCAAAAAAGACAACGATTTAACGTTTAATACCCCAAGAACCTTAGATAAGTTTGTGGAAGGTGAACTGAATGGTTCTCAGTCAATTTATAACGAATCTTCACGGATTTCGGAAAAAGCAGAAAAAATACCCACAAGAAGAAGTGAAAGAATACTTTCGAAAGCGTTGGCGAATAATGAACGGTCCCTTCGAGTGTTGAATGGTAATAAAGGTTACGGTCCGCTGGAGGAATTTAATATTGTAGAAAAAACGAAAACTAACAAGTATGTAAATCAAATATGTACTGAAAGGACATACTGATACCTATTCACGTCATGATACAATGAATACTTAAGAATATATGATGTGTACAAGTCAAAATTCGTTAAAACCTGCGCGTGACGTCACTGTTACATCTGTATGGCCCGTTTTTAAATGTATATTAGTACGTAGGAAAGAGGCTATTAATACTTGTAGGACTTACACAAAGTATTGTCTCATATTAGACAATACGTTATAGCTTTTATTACCTTTTATCAACATAAACAATAATTAGAATAAAATAAATATGATCAAGAAAGCTTTAAAGTATTATTTTAAATATGATGATATCTTATTTCAAAAAGCGCCTTGTATACTGAAAGAAAACAAAAAGGCGTAATTTTTCAACGAAATCATACATTTAATAATTTATTTTTTCTATTTTTTTATAAATAGCGGTTTTTTAACGATTGAACTGTAACTTTCTAAAAAATACACTAGTTATCTAGAGAGTGAAAAAATTGTTTTAGTTTTTCTAGACATAAAAATGAATAAGGAAATACGAAAAAAAATACTACAAATTGAAAGTTAGTCTCAAATCACCCAAGAAACCTATAATGATATTGCAATTAGGGAAGTTCTGAAAAGTACAAGTAATAAAATTATTTACACAGAAATAGAATACAAAAATTTCGAAATGTTTGAGAAGTAATATGAAAAAAGCCTTTAAACACTATATTTGAAATATACACATACTAGAAGAATAGAATGCTAATATTTGAAACATCTAAAGTTGACAATATGGTTGTTGCACTATGTACATGAATATTTTTATGAATATTATTTATTGAACTAATGTAATAACCACTCAATAAATGTACCAAATGCACTAGAAAGTTAGCCACCTTTAGTTGCGGGCAAGTTGCGCCCTGCTCACAAGTGGCGTCACAGCTGTCGATTTGCCCGCCTGTTCATATCTTAGGTATTTTTTGTATCATGTATATATGTTTATGAACATCCCAGAAAATAATACATCGTCATGTTTTAACAGTTATACTAATAATTTTTAGAAAAAGTAATCGTCAAATTTGTAAAAAGTGCGATAAAATCGATAAAGAAAATTTCTTCAATGACACTGTCAATAGTCCTAAGACTTCCAATAAAAACTATATTCTTCACATATTAAATAATGGTAGCGAAGCTGAACTGCAAAAACTTGCCACAATTGGATCAAAAACAGCAACAAAAATTTACATGTACAGGTATTACATTAATTTTAAATATTAATTTTAAAAAAACCAAATATGGTTATTTTTATTAAGTTTCTAAATTAATCTATTTAATAATTCGAAGGTCTTTCAAGTACACCTAACAGGAGAACAGTTTGCAATAAAAATTAAAAAATATATTTGCTATTCTCCAGAAAAAAAATGTTTTCTGAGAAAGACCATGAGGCAATAAATATCTCATTTTTAGGATACAGATTCTGAAAAGATTGTTACATTTTTATAGTACCTATTTATCTTAAAAATATTAGCGGGACAGCTCATCAGACCCGATTGACTCTCTTTGCCGTCTTATGTTCATTATTTAATAAAATTGCTTTTCAGGAAAATTAATGGACAATTTAATGATATCACCGATATACAAAACACGACCGGTATTTGGCGTGGAAAAGGTTTCTCACGATTTTTGAAAGAAAATTTTATTGAATAAAAACAAAAATGAATACTAAACAACTGTAAATATTTTGTCTGAAGAGTTTTTATTTTCACTGAATAATAGACCAAAGTTCTGCATGCCCAAGGGTCAACTATCGCTTTGAGTGGAAAATCTCAGTAACGACCACGGCCATTGTCTTATAGTAAAGTAGGTGACAGCCGCGCATTATTTTCGCGAGCGACATGTGTAGTTGCGTCTCGAAATAAAGTAAACCATGCTGGTAATGTCTCAGAAATNTAAAAAGTTAAAGTTAACAAATTTAATTATCAAAATATTCTATAACTTTTCTTGATATTTTTTCCTTATCTTATTTTATTTTACCATACAGTACGAATCACAAGAAATCTACAGTTACACATTTTGCATGATACATTATAAAAAATAGATTACGATTATATGAATACTGTAGTCCTAATAAAATAATATAATACAGGCAGTGACGGAATGATAAACAGTTTATGTTTAATTTTTCTGGGTGTCCCACAACTATTTTCCATATTCAATACTAACTGATAAGTCTCTTAGTAATAGCGATTGACACCCTGTTCATTTATTCAACATCCAACTGTACGTGTACGTTTTAAAGAAGAGAATTTTAAGATACATGCTCATTAAAAAAATATTCTTTATAATATAAAATTAAATAAAACAATTTAATATTAAATTTAAAAATATTGCACCGAAATTTTGGTTTAAGTAGATTAAAAAAAAATGGAAGACCAAAAAGGGTTAGTAGTTTTTGGGAGCTTGTTAAATATAACATATTAGGTAAATAGAAAGAGGAGATGTTACGAAGAAAAATGTGTTGTCACTGTAAATCCCGAAAGTAAAAAAAAACACTGCATTTTTAAAAATACATGCTATAAAAAATATATTGCACAAGACTGCAAGAAGATGGTCGACTTTCTTCGCGTCAATTAGAAAAAGTTTTTAATTAAGTAAGTTGAGAACTTTTGTCAGCACAATGTAAGTAGAATCACAAAAAACAAACAAGAGGAGCGGGAAGGGGGATGTGAGATACGTTTATTCCACAGTAACACTCTTGGCCAAGTTTCTCGGACAGTCAACATTGCACTTGCGCAATACTGCAATATGGAAACTGAGCAATTGCATCGGAATCACGGTCAAGATACCTTGCAAACAGTCGACTGTTTTTGGTACCTCGAGGCACTTGTAGGCGAAATTTTTAGTTTCGTTGTCTCCTTTTTCACAAACGATTATCGGCCGACCTTCCCGAGCAGTTACCTATAAGAAAATAATGGTAAAACTAACTAAACGAAAAAAATACGTTTTTACAAAAAAATCGCACAATTGGGTTCCGTCAAATGGGAGGAGCCTAAAAACATGGCGCCGATTAGGAAAAATTTATCGTAGTTCCTATAGTGTACCGTGCAATTTCCAAGTTTTTAAATTATGATAAAATGATAAGTATTGACACAATATGTGATTGGACTGACACAAAGCCTCGGAAAGGAAATTTCGTGGTGAGCGTGTTTTTAATCACAATATAAAATTCGGAAATAACAAATCCGGAAGCTAGCCTTCAAATTCTGTCAAGTTTACTGCCTACTTTTTACAAACTTCGGATTTAAAAAGCGATTCACGTTATATAATTGGTGTGGTGATTCTGGGTGATTTAAGCAATATCATATCAATGACTTGCACGTGCAAAGCCGATTTAAGAGAACGTTGCAAACACATTATTGCAACTTTGTTGTATTGCAGCAGGTAAATAATTTCTCACTTTAGTATGATTCTAGTTTTAAATATTAAGGTTATGGCTGATGGTAAATACTTGCTGAAATATAATCATGTGCATTAAAATGACGTGAACAAATTTTTATTCCGGAATTCACTTCTTTGATACCTACTGCTTTCATCCAAGCTTTTATTAGTTTACTTTTATCTCTAATTTTCCGAATATATTTTTTACATATATAAAACGGTTAGTTTTTATTGGAAAGTAATTAATGTAGGTGAAGAGTGAAGATCTATGTCTGAAGTGCTATTGCAGCTTTTCACTGAACATATTAACTTTTTATTTGATTTAACTTTAGAAGGAAACTTCGTCGACTCCATCATCAAAAAATTTTTTACTTTTTTAACGTGTTTGATTATTTTACAATTTTACAGTTCCTATGTAAATTTTTCCCTCATTCGAGTTATAAATTTTGCCACCAGATGGTGTATGCCCATTTGACGGATCCCATTTTTTCTTTCTAGTTTTCCTGAACGAGAGATTATAGAAAGGGTATTTATTCGCCACCCTTGGGATTTTAGGAATTTAAATAAATACGGTACTAAATGATACGCGATAATAATAACACAGTTAAACCCTTACGTCATCTGAATCAAATGATTCACTATAATGTTAAACAATTATGTATTCACTTTTAACGAATAACGAATGTTGTGGCCTATGTAAGCACTACGTATAAAAAAAAACTTTTTTTTACTTGGGAAGAATCAGAATTTTGAATTTATACTTTCAGTAATAAAATAATCATCAATTCCAAATACTTGTAATAAAAGTGAAGAGAAGAATATTTCTTACCTGTTGTAATGCATTCATACACTTTTTATAAACACCATCACGCATAACAATCATGATCACAGGCATAGTGTCGTCAACTAAGGCCAAAGGACCGTGTTTCAGTTCTCCCGCCATTATTCCTTCGCTATGCATGTAGGTTAATTCTTTCACTTTCTAAGAGGAAAATAAAGTAAAATTAACACTTATAATGCACGTATAATTTTTATTAAACTTTTTACCAAAGCTCCTTCTAAACACGTAGCAAAATTAAAACCACGTCCCATTATTAATAATGACTTTTGTTGATATAAATCTTCAGCAAGCGCCCTGACTTGGGAATCCAGTTTCAGTACTTCCTTGATTTGTTCAGCAAGATTTTTAAGTCCTTCAATAATCTAGAGAATACAATCAATGTTTGTTAATTATTTAAAATACATATAGATGTGAATTAATATTATTCATTACCTCCATTCTCCGCGTTTTCAATGAAATTCGATCTTCGCTCATGACCAAAGCAAACATTACAAGAGAAATGAACTGACTTGTGTAGGCTTTTGTAGAAGCAACACCGATTTCAGGCCCAGCGTTAATATGAACACCACAATGGGATTCTCTACAAATTGAACTTCCCACTGTGTTTGTGATACCAACTATTAAGGCTCCCCTTTGTTTACAATAACGCAAAGCCATGAGTGTATCAGCAGTTTCACCTACATAAAAATACTAATTATTTAAATTTAGATTTCTTTGTTTTATTGGTACATTTTTATGTATCTTGAGATCTTATAACTTTCAGGTAAACTGGGAAGTATATACATACAGCGTTATTCAAATTTAGTGGTTAATTCGATTTTCAGTCAGGGATTTTTTTTTGAACTTCAAATTACTTTAATAAATGTAAAAATAATGTACTTATGTTAAACATTTTTTAAATAACATTTACTGAAGTACTAAACTTCAGTTACAAAAACTTCATTGAAAACAATATTTTATATTAACAAAAAACGCAAAAAACAATAAAATTCAATAGAAATTACACTTCTTTGTTGCAAAATATTTGGATTAATTTCTTAAGTGTCAAGAAGAAACATATACTAATATGATCATCAAATAATATTATTGTTAGTAAACATGGGTATTTATAAATGAAAAGATCATACCTGATTGTGAAATAAAGAAACACACATCGTCCCTAAATACAGGAGTTGTACGGTCCAAGAAATCGCTGGCCAGTTCGACCATAACAGGAAGCTCTGTAAGTTCTTCCAGAAGCTGTCTGGTAGCAATGGCACTATGATAACTGGTTCCGCAACCGATAAGCATCAGTCTTCTGCATCTTTTGATTTCCGGAATGTAGTCCTTAATTCCACCAAGTATTACATTCTATAATGTAAAACAAATTATAACTCAATTGACGATATTCACAAGTTTGTATGATGAATATTTACTCGAGTATCAAAATAAACTCTCCCTCTCATTGTGTTCACTACAGACTCGGGTTGCTCGAAAATTTCTTTTTGCATGTAGTAATCGTAATTTCCTTTCATAATTTCTTCTAATTCCATTTTCAATGTGGTAATTTCCCGAGCATGAGGATCGTCCATATTTCTTCGGAGCCTGTGGATACTGAGGACTCCATTTTTAACTGCAGCCACATCATCGTCCTAAGAAAAGAAACAATAATTTAGAAAATTTTATGGCATTTGGATTGTTGTTGTTGCTCACCTCAAAGTAAATTACGCGATTGGTGTGTTCGATAATAGCTGATGCATCAGAAGCGAAGAAGTACTCGACGGATTTTTCCTCCAAAGGTTGGAATTCGGATGTGGAATCGTTTCTTGGAATAACAGGAAATTCGGGTCTTCCATGTGGTCTGTGTTCTATTGTCGAAGCAATTATTTATTAAATTATTCCCAATGGCCCATCCGGTAAGTTAGAAGTTAATATGGTAAGAAAGCAAAAATGAAAAGTTAACAATATTTTCGTCATTTGAAAATGAAAACGAATTGTATTTCGCATATTATATTAACGAAACATTTTACAAGATTTAAATATTTTTTTCTTCAAATTTACTTTCCTATTCCCAATAAAATTAATTATAGTATTTTCTCACAAAACAAATGAGCAAATTCTTAAAATCAAAACAACAAATCCCCACGATAAGTTCACACTGTATTTGCGATTGACATAAGTGGCGTGAGTAAATATGTACAGGTGGATGTTAATGAGTAAATAACGCCCAATAACGATGTTAGAAAATTAATTAAGTAATATAATAAATATTTACAAAATACTTACTTTTATACCAAGCAATTAAAATTAATATATATGTAAATAAAAATTTTCATTACCTTCACCAGACTACGATTTTTAGTCGACTTTAGATATTTAATGTACTTTTTCATTTTGCAAAATTAAATAAAGCACCCTTGCACTAAGTATGCTTTCTCAAAATTAATTTTAAGCCAAATTTGGTTAAATTACGAGAAAAAAGAAAGAGTTTAAAAAATATTAATGCACAGGGTAGAGGAAACGAATAAAATACTTGAGAGATTGCGTTTACGTATCGATATACCCTGTACGAGTCAATCAAAAATGTAATGTAGAAAATAGCCTAAACTTAAGCTACGCCCACTGGTGTTTCCTACTCGGTTCGTGCGAATTTTGCGAGCTCACAAAACATCCAGGAGCCGGGAGTAGAGCATAGATAAGAAAAAAATAGAAATACGTATCTATATACATATGCTTTGTATATAAAGACAACAGTATAGACAAGCGTAACGGTCTTTTCCGATTCCTCCCAAAAGAATTCCTAGATTTCTATCAAACGCACCTTTTCTTCCTCTTCCCATCGACTTTTATTAAATTTTAACAAAACTGGTAGATAAAACTATAAGAAAACACCACTGGCGGAACCCGATACCGTTGACTATTTGGTCCACACGTAATCTCTCAGTAATGTTACTACTTCTTTTAACTTTGTTTATAATTTTAGTAAGCGTATCACTTACCTAATTAACTTCAGCACCAAAAACTTACTGTACAGCAACATATGTACAACCCAAAATTTTTGCCTTTTAAGAAAATAAAATTGTTCAATGTAGGCGTTACAAATTTTCAAGAATAATAGGCTTGGCAATCGCAAAAGACAAAATTATTTAATTTTATTTTATTTACTTAGGATAAAATTTTGGGTCATTTTGTAATAACTGCTATTAAATGATTTACATGCAAGGGACATTATTATAATGCCACTAATTCGGTCATCAATATGCAAATCATTTAAATTGCAACTTTATAAAAGCAATACATATTTAAAGTTACACCTTTCACCTTTTGTACTGGTAGGTAGGCATTAGGATAAAATAAAAAGATAGGTGTACCTTTATGGTTGTTGTCTGTCTCAGCTGTAGACACCGCCCAAGGAAAAAGACAAAATAATAATTAATAAAAACAAACACATACAGAGGCTAAAACTCGAAAACAAGTAAAATTAAGTGCAAAAATATTGTAGCAGATGATCACACATACCGTTAAAATTAATAACACACGTTTAACACCTTTGATATAAATTCAAAAATTATAGATAATATATACATTTTTTAAATTGCTTTTTAGTGTTTAGGACAAATGCCACACTTGTAAATTTACCTTGCAACGTGTATTCCATTATAGGCTAACTTGTTGGCCTCCAGTTCTGATAATAGGATTAAGCAATTTCACAAAATTATAAATGTTTTGATTCTCTTTTGCAGAAAAAGGACTCAAATTAGAGGCGCAACGTCGGTGCTGTTTTTGTTATAATTACCCCTGATCGGGTCTAATTATTTTATTGCTTTAATTTCAATTTCCTAAAAATATTTAATATGATCTACACCTTTCAATTAGGACGCCTTTTGGACTTATGTAGGTGGCAATTCTTGAATTCTTGTTCTTTTTTAGTGATTTTTATCAAAACAGAAGTTTATTGTTCTTAAAAACTTATTTTTATAATTTTTTTTAAAGCTCCCTTTATTCAGAAGAATAATAGAAAACTATCTCCAGAAAAGACACAAAGGAATCTTGCCTTTAGTCAGCATTCTCAACTTAAAGAGTGCGGGGTGTGTTCGTTTGAATTTATCAACCATATGATATCTTCATTCACAGACGTTAATATTATATTATTTTTACAGTAATTACTGAAGGAATATGATGTTTTTTTTTTAATAACATTGTTAAATGTGTGTAAGGTTCGGTACGGGTGGGATAAGTGGACGGTGGACACAGCGGAAATAAAAGAGTTAGAAACGTTGAAGATGTAGTGTAACAGGCAGATCAAAAAATATTGTGGATAGAAAAAGTTAACAATTGTATACAGTAAGAAATCAAGTTACCTATGTAGCAAATATTTTTTATTTATATGAGATCAACAATCTACATTCCACCTCAATTAGGAGACATCCAAACCTAACCCTGAAGATGCCTTATAATTGAGGCAAAATGTAGGTTGTCGGTTTCATATAAAAAAAATTCAACGTGTACTTATACAACATGCTACTGAAGTAAAACTTCTCCCAACACACAAACATACCGGGATAAGGATTAAGGAATTGGTTTCATGGTATTATTTGTACGCTATGAATTTAAATTTTACACTATACATGCCGGAGTTGCCTGTAGCGAACGTTGCATTGAAGCGCGCTTACGGCTCAAGCGATCCCTACTACGAACTCGACTACGTGGCCGAGTAGAGGGGGGGATATCCGTTGCATGATTTCGTTGCATAGCAACTCGCATGAAACGAACTTACCCTACCGTGCGTAAAGAAGTTTCACTTCAAAAAAAAACCTTTGCCCCATACGTACCTTAATTTCTTACTGTATACAATTGTTAATTTTTTCTGTGCACAATATTTTCATCATCTTCCTGTTATATCACATCTTCAACGTTTCTAACATTTTTATTTCCGCTGTGTCCACCGTCCACGTATCGCACCTGTATCGAACCTTGCTCCAAATGTACACATTTAACAATGTTATTCGAAAAAAGAAAACATCAGAAGAAGTTAAAATTGATGAGGTATTCAAAACCGAAAAGGAGAGATAGGATAATAAAACACTTGCTGGCACATAAAGGGTTCGTTACTAATTGAGGAAGTGGGATTTTTTTTTTTAAAGAAATACGAAGATTGGCTTAGGATAGTATAGAGGGGAAGCGTGTCCAACCAAACTCGGACTGACGTCCCTATTTATCATAAAATTACTTGTAATACTTCAATTATGTATTTTTTAAAGCAAATTGAAAGAGTTCATCTTATTTCGTCACCTACTGCATTGCTCTCGATAAAGCCAATTATAGGTAGTTAAAGTAGGCGTCTTATCATTTGATCGATTAATTGTTTTTATTATTGATAATGAACTGATATCAGAGGCTACTTGTCGCTACTGACTACGTATTCTTATTACGTTATCATTCTGCGAACTTAACTGACACACAATTTATTGGCAGCATTTGTAGACAACAAATAGCAACAAACACAAAAGAAAGCGCAAGAACAATTACTTATTACAAATGCAAAAATTTCTGATAAAATATAAATAAAAGGTAAATGATAAGATCCTGATAAAATGCCTTTGGAAGATGGAGGGCGGTCTTAAGAAAATCTATTTTGCATTTGTAGATCTAATTGCCTTGTAGGTATTAGAAATAAAAAAGTATACCTGGTGTAGCAGGTGTGTCATCTGCAGAAGGAAAGACAGAAACAGGTCCATGCAAAAAGAGGATAAAAACAAATAAGTTTATTAGTGTTACATACACAAATAATGTGAGTGACCGCCGACATAAAATGCAGTTCACACATATCCTCTTGTAGTGCCCTGTGTGGCTTAATTGCGCCTAGTCTACAACTTTTTTTTTCTGCAAAAATTTTCGAAACCATAGCTTTCCCCTTCCCACTCTTCCGAAAGATATAAATTTGCTCGCCTTTATGTTCTATACGTAATCGATTTACAAAGAAAAAATTGTACATTACGTATAGAGGGAAGAAACAGGGTTATTTCAGACTGTGTTCCCGAGGTACGTTTACTATTTTTTGTTATGTTTGTGCGGAAAGCTAGTTATTAAATTGATAGTTGGCGAAAGAAGAGTAAATGATTTAGAGGTTAGAAAGACATTGTCATTGAACAACTGATATCTGCGCATGCCCATAAACTTAAGCGCATGCGCTGAAAAGACTAATTTCATTACCTCCCCACTAAAACACGGCTGAAAAGAGGTCATTTCTTCCCCATTACATAGCAGGCAAACCGAGCTTTCTGCGCTAACATGACAAAAAAACTGTTAATTAATAATTACTCGAAAATCGAAAAATATAAAAAAAAAACAAATGTAACGATTTCTATTCGGCAGACTAGAATATCGAAAATATATTTTGTTGTACAATTTAAAAATTGGGTTTTAGATAATGGTGAAAAGAAAAAGTGGTAAATTAGGCGCAATTAAGCCACATATATATGAGGATATGTACAAATAACGCTTCATATTGGCGGGCAGTCACACTAAAAAGGAAAACGTTTAAATAAATAAGGGTCAAAAATGAATGAATAAAATGGATCATGAAAAAGGTGTAGTCATATATATATGGGATTCCAATGAAGCAAGAAGAAACGAAAAGAATCGGCCAAAAGTACAAATACATAAGTCATGCTGTTAGAGAGCTGACAAGATTGTTAAAAATGGAAATAAGCATTCAAAATTACAAAGAAAAAAGAAAAAAAAAAACAAATGTAATTAGTAACAACTGTTTAAATGTTGTTATATAAGATCATTAATTATTTGCTAACTGATAATAAAATATTATCCTAAACCATTTTAGCGAATCGATTCAGAATTAATTTACAGCTTTCCTACGTGCAAAAATACATTTGATTTACGAAAAAGCAATTAAATTTAATCTTATATTTAGTTTATCACATAGCACTTTTTTGAAGTACCGTGATTATACAGTAAATCGGGAAATGATTGGTAATCTTTTAAATTCCGAACAGAACTCAAATAAAGGATAAGGTAGTAAATTTTTGAACAAGATTAATTATTAATAACAACACAAATAAATACAAAATATTATTTTTACTGATTTACTATAATTTTCATTTTTCGTATTTTACGTAAAATTATAGAATAAAATTAAAGATAATTAGTTAATATTGCTTCTTGCTCTAAAGACTTTTTGGTATAGTTTCCAATTAAACTCGAGCAATATTAAAAATAATTATTTTTTGCCCTGAAGACTACCTCCCCAGCAAACCATTAACCTTAAGTTTGTTATTTTAATAAATGTGTTTATTGAGAAACATTACCAAATTAAATATTTATTCAAAAGTTAAAATCACTTATTGTTAGAAAAATCTCCAATTAAAATTAGATGAAAATATAGCAGAAATTAAAGCTAAAATAATGCTTAATAGTACATGCAAGAGCCTACTTTAAGGAAAGAAAGAACCGATACCACAGTACCTTTATGTAACCACGCCCAGTAAATCTCTGTAAATGCAATTTTAAATATGTTGTACTGATTTATCTATAAGGAAATCTGTACATTTTATAATACAACAAAATAAATAAGAAGAAGTTGATATTAATTACTGATAAAAAATAAATTACCTTTGCCATAAAGAATAGGAATATGGTCAGTAGCCAAATGAGACTTCGTTTTGATTCCAATTAGCAAGGGGGATCCTCTCCTGGTAGCTACACATTCACCGGGGAAATGTTTCGATTTGAAACACAATGCGAAAGCACCCTCCTACAGATCAATAGGTATACTGTTTAAGTTATTAGATTATACATAATTAGCTACTAGTAAATAGAAAACACAATATCATATAACTGGTAGTGTACCGCCATCTACAGGTATTTCATAGTGCTTGACAAGAACCTGCGAAGATTTAGTTGGCAAATACATAGATACCTTCATAAAGCCCTTACCAAAATATATTAAACATTACAATTAGTAGTAAAATAGGTATAGATGGCGACATACTGCCAGTTGCATGATATTCACCAACTTGCTGATATGAAGCAACTTTAGTTTGGGTGGTGATTTATGGAAACCATCTATGGTTTACTGACGAGAACCAATAATTTCGAAATAGTGTTCCAATTTTAGACTGTTTCGATAAATTTCTGACCAAGAAATTAAAATTATTAAATATTAAAATTTATAATAAGAACTATGAAGGAGCCAATACCCACTGTTACCAGCTTACAGTAGAAACATTTTGCCTATCTTAATTACACCACTGATAAAAAAAGCTAAAGCTTTGGTATATAAATGTAAACAACAACTACACCTTTTGCTTTTAAGTTGTAATATCACAACAATCTAATAAAGATAAACCTAAAAAGTTGTTCGTATTGATGTTCTATTTATTTCATATTTCCATAACAAATAAAACAAGTCAACAAGTCTTATTATATCAGTTAAACGTCCTTCACTAATAAGCTTTCTCTTTCTCAATTTTAATATTGTAAAAACAAACAAATCTTTCACGTCGTTGGTGAAGCAAACCCAGTGCAATGATTGATATTTTTTTTAATTTTTATTTCAAAAAAAATGTTTAAATTTTATCGATTTTATTTCTCTATTTTTGTTTGTCATGTATTAATAAAAAATATACCATGTTCATAACTACAGCCTCCATTATTTTAATTGACATAGGTACCTAACTGTATTGATTTTTTTTTCCAACCAAACCGAAAGTATTACTTAAATATTGCAATATTACTTAAAAACTTAAGAGATACTAAATTTTCAAAAAGTGGATGTACGAATTCAAAAAATATCACCAAAGCAAACTGTACATTCTTGTCATTTAAATTCATTAATTGAAATAGGCCTACATTTATATATTATACAGTAATTGCTAGCTTACCAACTGTTGGACCACATGCTCAACCAATTCTCGGAATGAATAATTTGGATGAAGGTTGTACAAATGATGAATAAGTTTAGCAATAACTTCGGTATCAGTTTCGCTTTCAAATCGGTATCCTTTCTTTTCTAGGAAAGTCTTAACTTCTTTGTAGTTAGTTATGATGCCATTATGAACAACCACAAAGGAATGGTGAACATCGGAACGTTGGGGGTGAGAATTGACCTCATTCGGAATACCATGGGTAGCCCAACGGGTGTGCGCTATACCACAATGGTTGTCATTTTCATTTTCCACATGTAGTTCACTTGATCCTGATAATAACAAGGATAAATAAAATTAAAAACGTTTCTAATGTTTATTTTGTTTATATTTATCAAAATGGTCTGTTACAAAACATTGGATTCTGCATCTTAGATTTTAAATTCAATTATACATTTCGTTTATTTTATATAAAATTTTAAATGAGTGAGAGTTCATTGGAGCAAAGACCAAACAAGGGGCCAAATATACATAAATTCAGATAGAAGAACATCTTCTTCACATATATTCTGAATAGTATCGAATTTTATTTCTAGCGCAAAATAACAGTAAAACGAAAATACTGGTATGCAAGGGAAGGAAAAGTAGGGAAAGAGCGAATATAAAGATAGGAGACGAAAAATTAGAAGAAGTGGCCGATTTTAGGTATCTAGGAAGTCAGATAAGTCAGGATGGAAGGAGTAGTAGGGATATAAAGCAGATGATAACGCATGGTCGAGTCGCCTTCAATAAAAAGAAGTCACTTCTATGCTCGCGAACGGTTAATTTAGAAATTCTAAAAAGGTTGTTAAAGACGTATATGTTTGGAGCACGGTGCTGTAAGGATGCGAAACATGGACAGTGGGTGCGGCGGAAAAGAAAAGGTTAGAAGCGTTCGAAATGTGGTGTGCTGAGGATACCGTGGATAGAGAAGGTTAGAAATGAAGAGGTATTAGAAAGAGTAAGAGAACAGAGGACTCTATGGAAGTCAATAAGAAATAGGCGAGATAGGTTGGTAGGACACCTTCTCAGGCATGAAGGTCTAGTCAGAGACATAGATGAGTTAGTAAGAGTAGAGGTAGACCTAGATTAGATTACTGTTCGCAAATAGTTAAGGATATGGTAGTGGCTTTTTCCAGGGATGTAGATTGGTCATGTGTTGTATGTGCTGATAGTGACAATATATTTATACCTATAACTCTTCAATTAATAATATAGGGTCATACAAAGGTTATTGATAACATTAGAAAATGCTCTAAAAAGAAACAACAATTTGATATAGCTTTATATATTTATTGTAAAACAAAACATAATTTTGAAAGAACATATTTATTTTGTGAGTAATACTATGCAGAAAATAGGTGAAGAGGCACTTCACCTACTTCACCTGATTAGCTGCAATTGATATCATTATGCTACTGCAAAATTAATCTGTACCTATTCAGTAACGGATACCTCCGCATTTTTACTTTATGTTATTCCAGAAAAATATTAAGTGCTCTTATTCAATACACTTCTGGCATGAAGTACTTTCCAGTAAATTAAATTAACAATTGGTGCACAATTGCTAATAACGTCATTGTGAATTCCAATAACACCCAAACAATAAAATCTTAACAAAGCAATTACTACTTAGTGGATAATAGTTTTAAGTGGTTCGATAGTAATAACTACATAATATGTTCCACGATATAACAACTTGTTATTTGTTATTTATTATAATATACTTAGAAACAAATGAATTTTGTAAAATTCAATAATTTATTATTAGGTGACAAGATAAAATAATAAATCAAAATAGAAAATAGCATATTAATCACTCCATTTTTTTTAATGATAAAAAAGATATTAAAAATGATTACCTGATAGGTATACTGTTTAAGTTATTAGATTATACATAATTAGCTACTAGTAAATAGAAAACACAATATCATATAACTGGTAGTGTACCGCCATCTACAGGTATTTCATAGTGCTTGACAAGAACCTGCGAAGATTTAGTTGGCAAATACATAGATACCTTCATAAAGCCCTTACCAAAATATATTAAACATTACAATTAGTAGTAAAATAGGTATAGATGGCGACATACTGCCAGTTGCATGATATTCACCAACTTGCTGATATGAAGCAACTTTAGTTTGGGTGGTGATTTATGGAAACCATCTATGGTTTACTGACGAGAACCAATAANATAGTTAAGGATGTGGGCTGTTCTAGTTTTAGGGAAATGCGAAGTTTAGCTCAGGATAGGAAAGAGTGGAGGTACGTGTCCATCCAGTCTTAGGACTGACGACCTTATAATGATGAAAAAATTAAATCAGTGATTGATTGATTATTATAATAGATATAAGATATAACATTTCACGAATTGCATCATGAAACGCTAGTGGGAACCTTAGAACCTTGAGGCAAGAAGGAAAGTTATTAATTAACTATTAAAACTGATAGGTTAGAATTTAGGCATACATGAAATTCATTCGCCAGAATTCGAAATAATGCATGTAGGATGGTAGAAGTCATAATGCGTAAGAAAGTAATACAGAGTGCAGAAAGTTACTTAAAGAATAGCGACCTTCGTAGTCGTTGTTAGATTCCGAACTTTGTGACCAATCAAACATTGACTAGGATTCACGTTCTTCCGCTTTGTGCATTATTTCGTCCAATTGGAAGGTTGGCTAGGTTTTTATTTGATCGGGATATCTATTAGGTGAGCGCCCTCTTTGTTTTTTTCGTCAAATTTCGTGAGGAGTACCAATCACTTCTAACAAGATGACCGAAGAAGTTTAAAATTTGTATTAATGTTAATAGTGTATTACGTATTAGTAATCGTAAGTTCTTTTAACATAGATGAATTAGTTTTTCTTGCTGTCTATGGTATTTTCATCATTCTGCGATAGCACTTTATCTCCAAGGCTTTTATGCGTCTGTGAAAGGCTGCATTTATAACTTAGGATTCAGAAGCATATGCTGCCTTGGGGAAAATATGAGTACTTGGAGTATACGTGTCTTTTGGCTCTTTACAGCTATGATAGTCTTTCTACGATATATTCTAGTTGGAGATGAGAAAGCGCTTTTACCCTGCTTTCACACAGACGGTTTTTTGCCGTGGCCGTCCACGGCAACCGTACCGTGTATAATAGTAATACGAGGGTGGATTGATAAGTTTCCGGCCTGACCAAGAAAAACAAGGTTTTTAAATTTTTTTTTTTTTTATTTCTCAACATAATCTCCTCCAAGGCTGATACATTTCTCATAGCGGTGTTCCAGTCTATTAATGCCATCTCTATAGACTGATTCGTCAAGCTCCTCAAAATAACCATTTACAGCTTCGATTACTTCT